AAAAATCTATAGTTGGTAATATTATTTAAAAAAAAATATTGCTGGTAATAGTTTTTTTCAAAAATATATTGCTGGTAATAGTTTTTTTCCTTCAAAAATTTATCTCTGGTAATAAATTTTTACAAAGTATTTCTGGTATTAAAACCTATTTTTTCACTTTCTTAATGCTTTTCATAATCAGTTTGGGGGTTAACTATTTGCCCATAGCTGGGACCCTAACAGGTGCTACCACCCCAAGTCTGGGTGGACCTGGGAACACCAGCAATTAAGAAGTGGTTCCACACTCCTCAAAACCTCCTGATCAGAGGCCATGCTGTTGGACGTAGTTTATCGTCTTAACCTGGACGCAGATGTAGTTTATCGTTATATCCAGGATGGATTCTAAGCATGGGTTAATGGTAGATTTTTAGATATGTAAGATAAACTCTGGAGAGAAAAATTGTCTAATGCAAAAGAAAGGAACCATTCTTTCCAGGATCAAGACTGTGATGAAAAACAAATACATTGGAAACTTAGATTTGTACATATTTATTATCTAGTAAGCTTTTACTTATGATATAAAAATGCATTCTTTTTAAATTGAAAAATCTTATTTTCATGATTTTTGTGGTGAGTTTTCCAAACTTTTTGAAAATGACTAAGTTGTTTATTACTTGTCTATTAGGCTGACTGTTGCAGATGCTTGCTCAAGCAGATTTACATTTCTTCAAGACACACAGAATCAACCTGTGGTTTATACTGCAACTATGTTGAGCAGACCTTAGTTACAATTTCTGTGAGAGAGAGAGTGTATAATTTAGCATGATCAGCAGTTTGAACAATGCTTGTATGCCTAGCCTCTTGGTTACAATGACTTGTGGCTTCATACTGATGTATGCACATAGCCACATTGTTAAAGAATCTATAGACTGACTCAAAATAGCTAACTACTGGTCAGAACTCTGATGACCCGAACTAGATGGATTGTTTTTGTTTAAGTTTTGGATATAAAAGAGTAGCAAGGGTGAAGTCATCTTGTTACATCCAAATTCATTAATGTGACAATCCATTTATGCGGTGGTGATGAGTAATTGATCCCCTTTATTTCCCTTTCTCTCTCAATGACACAACTACTGTACCTCATGAAAAAAAAGTGAGTAAAAAGAAAATTGTCCATTATTGAATCATTGGAATTCTGAAGCACTGAATCCAGATATGACATAAGATGCTACACACACTTTTTTTTATATATATATATATATATATATATATATATATATATAAGTGTGTGTGTATATATGTATATATATATATATATATATATATATATATATATATATATACTCTCCCATCGAATATGATGTATGAGGGTCAAGCAGCTCAGTTCTAGGAAACCGACAGCCTGACAACAGCACATGAAATTTGATTGTAGTGGTGAAGGTTTCTGTGCAGTACCAGTCACACTTTTTGAAGGGCCAAATACAGAGACCTGGTGGGCTACATGCCACAAGTTCCCCAAATGACCCTCCACAGGTTTTGAATTCAGAGTTGTCCTTCTCCTAGACTAGTTGCCATCCAAGGCTATAGAACCCAGTCTGTCCTGCTATTTATCCATAGCTGGAGAGAGAAGAGGATTCACACCTTTCCCAAGGTTATTAGCATGTAAGTGAATGTAACTGGATTCGACTGGAATTCGAACTCGGCTCTCCGATTCCTCAATCCAAGCTGTTGTGCATTACTCCACCATGCCTCCTATATATATATATATATATATAAAATGTGTGCGTGTATATATATATATAAAATAATAATAGTTGGCACTTGTATTCGAAGATACCTGCCCACTAGGACGGCTAGCCTATCCCAATTGCAGACTCTTGCTCAGGCACATTTGTGTTTGTTTAACACCCACAGAGCCAACCTATGGTTTATACTGCAACTATGCTGCACAGACCTTAGTTACAGTTTCTGGGAAAGAGCATGTTATCTCCTGTGACCAACAATCTGAACACCACCACCACACTCGAACCCTCAGTCATGATGACTTGTGACTTTGTGCTAACACAGCTGTCAATGGCTCCCAAGTGTTTCGTAAGGCTTGGGTCAACCAGTGGTATAGTTTTCAGGCACTTTAAAAAGGTGCTGCATGCTGGGATCATCCCCTTCCAAACCGATAACATTAGGAAGTCTTCTTTCTGACAAATCAACCGTGGTGAGACTTGAACCAGCCAGCTACATGCCCATACATATGGCCTGAAAATAGTTTGGTTCATTCTTGAGCACAATCAGACTGGGTCGTTGACCTCAACGTCCACTTTTATATTACATCAATTATAAATTATATAAAATTGATATAATATAAAAGTGGACGTTGTGGTCAATACCCAATGGTGTCAGTCGGTTTCATTCTTAAGCACAATACTCAGGCCACATGTGCACACTTGATACATACATACATACATACTCAAGGCAGAAACTAGACCTCAGTGTACTCACTGCAACCAATTTCTCACAGTCAAACATCTTAATAGAATGTAAGAAGTACAAAAATATACATAGCAAAACTATTATCAAGCACAAAATCTTAACATGGTGTTCAAAAATGTACCTACTGCCCAAATAATAAGATAGCTGAAAAAAATAAAATACTTTTATAGAAAATAAAGCAAGCAAAACTTATATCTTAAAATACTCCTGAACTATATAACTTGTGATATTTTGAAAATAAGGTATAAATGTTTTATAATGTTGCTTAACTTTTTTTTACTCATTATTTATTATTAATTACTTTATTATTTGTTATTGATTGTCATTATTACAGTCACATGTGTTTATATGTTCATTTGTTTATTATTACAGTCACATGTGTTCATTTGTTTATTTTTACTTAATTTGATTATTTTACTTTATTTTTTATTTATTTTTATTATTATTTTTTACATTAAACAAACTATAAACTGTTTTTTTTTCTGTAAACAGAATGCACTTTTGCAGTCATGATTTTTTATTCCACAAGGCTGAGTTTATATTTTTAGGAAAATTTTAATTGGTTATTTTGAATTTTTGCAATGGAAATTAGAAAAATCTCATTGAATCATTTTTTCTTCTTCATTTCAGGTTGATTGGGTAACAATGAATTTTGTTCCATTTGCTGAAAAAACCATTGAGATGGTTGTGGAGCTCTATGGCACAACAGCAAAACATCCAGCTGTTATACAAGCCCATGTGTTACAGCATATCATCAAAGTAAGCAGTTTTATCTAATTTTGTTTCAGCACATCAACTTTTTACATTTTGTATTATCTAGATTATTAATGTTGGAATTGTAATGACCAAAGTTGGTATCATATCACAATAGGGGTGGGGATCCAAGCTTATGTTGCTTATTTTCCAAGTTGGAAAATCAGGATTTGAAATAGCAAATATGCAGCTCTCTCATCCACTCAGTAAGACAGTGCTTGGTATTATGGTTTAGAACAAGGGTCGGCAACTCATTTGACCTCGCCGGCTGGATCGTGTTATAATGACAGGTCACGGGCTGGACGAAAGCCATTAATGAAAAATTAAGGAAAATTACATATGCAGACCCCTGTCAACCTAAATATTTAAAACCATAATGAAAATAAACATTGAGAAATCAGAAAAACAAAAGAAAATCTAAAATTAAAAAACATCTAACAAAAATTACTTTTCCTCAAGGAACGTCAAAATACTTCAAAGTGAAAAAAATCAACCGAAGTGCAATGGATGAAATTATGACATGTAGGTTTGAAACTGTTATTGAAAATTGTTCCACAAACGAACCACACACACACACACACACACACACACACACACACACATCAAACAAAAACAAAGCACATATACCCATACATACAAGTACAAATAGTTGCAAACATATACACTTACGTATGTACACATGCGGTATCATCCACACATTCATGAGGCATGTATGTATAATGTGCGTATGTTTAACTGTCTTTAGATTTCTGCTACCTTGCATGTCAGTCCCTCCCTGGCCTCTTTCACTTTATCGTTCCTTTCGCTTCTGTTATCTTTTAATGTAGCCAAGTAAAAAGAAAATGACACGGTAATAAACGCCAACACATATATTTTGACATTCGACAAACCAACTCTACCAAAAAAAATAAAGATAGGTTACACAATAGCCAAGGTAGAGCCATACATTCCTAATCCCTATAGATGTCATAAATTTCATAAATTTGCTCATCTTCAAAATGTTTGTATGAGAACATCAGTCTGTCAACAATTTGAACAAGGCCAGAACGCTCAAGCCCTCGGCCATGATGACTTGTTACTTCATGCTAGCACAGCTAACAATGACATCCAAGAGTTCTGTCTACTCAATTTCATTCACAAGGCTTGGGTCAGGTTTTCAGGCACTTTCCAAAGGTGTCGCACACTGGGATCAACCCCTGCAGTCCAATAACACCAGGAAGTTTCTTCCTCACAAATCGGCCATGGTGAGGTTTGAACCCAGGTCTCATGGTCAGAATGTGAACGTTCTAACCACTTGGCCATAGTAGGAACTAATTAAACCAAAGAAGGTAGGATTAAATTATTAAATCCAGAAGGTGGCCCCAAATTTTTGGCTAATCACGTGTATCTAATTATATCCTGAGAATATGATTAACCTCAGTTGGTTAAGACCAATTTTATTGCAAATACAATCTGGCATAGTGTAATATCATTGGGTGCTAAATGTAGAAGGATGGTTCATCAACAAGTCTGAAATATTAAGACATATCTTTGATTGAAACGACAAATTTGATGAGGCTGTTTAAAATAAACTTCTTTTTACTGATACTTGATCTGAAAAAAAAATTCCAGTGATGATAGATGTTACCCTGAATCTGTTAATATATTTAGCAGTTTAATTTACTTGGCTCCAAAAGTGTTTGGTCCATGTAATTCTAGTATAATTCATTCTTTCATCTGTCAGGTTTGTAATTTCTTCTTAGTGCAAACTTTTTGGAATCGGTCTTCATAAGACATTCTTGATGTCTATTTCTTTTCCGTTTCGGCTGGAATTTCTTGATAGCAATGTGTTCACCTGGTTTTCATTCACAGACCCCAGGAGAAGTCTTCTGGTTCTTCAACTGTTATCCTCTATTTTGGTTATGGAATTCTTTGATTATTGGCTAATTTCAGCGACAAACTTTTCAGTTTATTTCGTGATCAGGATTTCAATTGTAGTGTAATTGGCCATGTTTAAATTTAATTGGCAGAAATGCCCAACAAACAGAATTGGCAAAGTTTGCAATAAACAATAATGAAAGAAAGAAAAGATTGATTGATTCATTCATTTTCTATGGTTTGTCAACTCCTTGCAGGTTATTTAAAGCCATAAAATTGTTTTAGATTGTAATAATTTTATTTTTTTAGAGATGCTAGTTTAGTGATACAGGTCTTAACTAATTAACCCACATTTGGTGGGAGAAGAACTAGATTCATGCATGATCAGAATTTGATAAACAAAAAATTATAACATGGATATAAAGTGGGGGGTCAATTCTATATTAAAATCATTATTTAAACTGAACCCTCACTTCATGGCCATGGTAGTTTCTATTCATTTATATTCCAGAGAATGTAAATAAATCTAAAAAACATGTCTGTGTAGCTAATCAGTATTTTATTGATTGATTTTCTATGTTTTAACAACCATTTGCAGGTTATTTAAAGCCAGAAAATAGTTTTAGATTGTAAGATTTTTTTTTTTTTTGAGATAACAATGGTTTAGTGATACTAATTAACCCATAGATGAAGAAGAAGTGGATTCATACCTTTCCAAAGGTTATTTTCATATAAGTGAATATGACATCCAATGGGAATTGGAACTTGTCTCTCTGATTAACAATTCCAAGCCATTAACCATAACACCGCTCACACTTCTAAACTTACAATATTTGGCATTCCCTTATGGTCACCCATCTAGGTACTGACCAGGCTTGACGTTGTTTAACTTTGGTGATTGTACGGGAACTGGTGTTTTAGCAGGATGTGGCTCTAAGCCAGAAAAAAATAATACTAAGCAAACAATATATGCAAGGGAAAAGTCGGCGAAACATCAGTAATGAGGTAAAAAATATTTCACTAAGAATAGGGTTAAGACATAAAAGAGATACAAACCCATGATCATTGCATTCTGATTCCAAGAAAGAACATAATGGATCATATGATTCCAACAAGAAGAATATCTTATTGGCTCAGAAGAACCTCAGTATGCATCTGTATGTTGGGTCTCTAAATTTTGGGGGAGGGGGATGTTTTTGCAGTTATTCCTAACAGGATTAGAACTAACATCAGTTCCGGTGTGAAGAAGTGAAATCTATTTCTTCTGGTTACGTCAAATACACAGCAGCCACATCACAAGGAAAACTCGGAAAAAAATAACTAATACTAGATAACCTCTATTGTCAAAAAATAGAATGAGAAAAATTTACCACCATGAATCAAATAAAGAATAGATTTCCAAATTTTTTACGCAGTTACCAAACAGTGGCAGACATTTAAACAAAGCTGAAGTCTATAGCAACAAAGTTAAGAGTTTAAATAATTCCATGTATGAATAAGTAATGGGTATTCCTGTTTTTGAGGGTGGCAAGCTAATCCCTGTTGCAGGTGCCTACTCAAGCATATATTCTATTTTGACCTCACCCACAGAGCCAACTTGTGGGTTATTTTATATCTATTTTGAGCTGACTGTCTGTTCCTATCTCTCCAAGTCTGTTCATATCTATCTCTCTATCTGTGTTTGTTTATATCTGTCTCAGTCTGTTCATGTCGGTCTTTCTCAGTCTGTTCATATCTATCTATCTATCTATCTCGGTCTGTTCATATTTATCTATCTATCTATCTCGGTCTGTTCATATTTATCTATCTATCTATCTCGGTCTGTTCATATTTATCTATCTCTCTATCTCGGTCTGTTCATATTTATCGATCTATCTATCTCGGTCTGTTCATATTTATCTATCTGTCTCGGTCTGTTCATATTTATCTATCTATCTCGGTCTGTTCATATTTATCTAAATCTGTTCATATTTATCTATCTATCTATCTCAGTCTGTTCATATTTATCTATTTATTTATCTTAATATCTATCTATCTCAGTCTGTTCATATTTATCTATGTTCATATCTATCTATCTAAATCTGTTCATATTTACCTATCTATCTATCTATCTTGGTCTGTTCATATTTATCTATGTTCATATCTATCTATCTAAATCTGTTCATATTTATCTATCTATCTCAGTCTGTTCATATCTATCTATCTCTATATCTAATCTTTTTATAGCTAAGTCTGTTCATATCTATACATCTATCTCAATCTGTTCATATCTATCTATCTAGTTCAGACTGTTCATATCTATCTGTTAGTATACTCCATTTAACTGCCACTTATGATTAGTAGTTAGGACAAGACATTCGTCCTTACAACTGGTTCCACTAAAATGGAAATTATTTATGTCTCATTGCTTTTTAAATTTTTCTCAAAAAATAATTATTTGAAAATAATTTTATCTTATTTATTTTTTTTCTTTAGACTTTCCGACTCCCTCTGGGACTCAAATATGGATGCCCCTCTCCAACTACTTGGATGTTGAGCATTAACGCTCTTTTAAATATCCTTGGCATTGGTTTACCTGTAGCCAGAAAACATGGTAAGTTTTTGTTTTTATCTTTGTTACCTGCACGTAGGCAATGATGTTAGGAATGTGTCTTTAAATGTTACCAAATAAGGCAGTGGTGGTGGGGGGGGTCTGTTTTTCTATGGTGTATGATATACCATGATTGGGAAACAAAATGAATACTAATGAATACAGTTGGAAGACTGATTAATGAACCATGTATCAGTCCTCCTATATTTTTTTTCTTTTTAATCATCTCACCCCATTCAAGGCAGTAGAGCCACTAAGACACAAGAGGTTATGGAGTGGGAAAGAATATGAAAAAAAACAGAAACATTATTAAGGAGCAAGAACAATAAAAGAACAGGAATTAAGAAGACAGAAGATAACGATTGACAATGTATTTAAATTTTAGAAGATCAAATTGAGAAAAAGAAAACACTATTAAGGAGAGAGGACAATAAAAGAACAGGGATTAAGAAGACAGAAGATAACGATTTACATTGGATTTAAATTTTAGAAGATCTAATTGAGAATATGAGAAAAAGAAAACATTATTAAAGAGAGAGGAGAATAAAAGAACAGAGATTAAGAAGAGAGAAGATAACGATTTACATTGTATTTAAATTTTAGAAGATCAAATTGAGAATATGAGAAAAAGAAAATAATATTAAGGAGAGAGGACAATAAAAGAACAGAGATTAAGAAGACAGAAGATAATGATTGACATTGCATTTAAATTTTTGAAGATTAAAGTTGGCTGGAAAGCATGCAGCCAGAAGAGAGTTCCACAAGTGAGAAGTGCAAGAAACTGTTGGCATATAACTTATGGTTACATCCAGCCAATTCAACTCTAAGTTGATGAGACCTTCTTGCTAATCTAGTACTGCACTTAAATTCATAAAGTTGATATACTATAGAGGAAAGTTACTCAGAACAATGAGTATTTAGAGAAGCTATTTAGAGGCATAAGGAAGCCATGTTATTATGGTGGTGGGAAAGTGACTGAAGCTAAGATGCCAGGTCAGGACCAATAACACTTCAGATTTTTCTTTGGATTTTATCAAGAATCTCTAAATATATACCAGAAAAAGCATGAGACCATATGTTGCAGCAATATTTAAAGCAAAGATGAATAGTAGACTTATAAATATGTAAGATAGATTCTGGTGAGTAACATTGTCTAGCTCGACAAAGTGAGCCAACTTTCCTAGCTACAATTGATTCATATACTCTTTCCACTTTAGTTTGAGAAAGTGCAATGAGTCACCATCTTGGAGGTTAGCATCAGCCATGCTGATGGAAGGTAAAAAAAAGTTCTCAAAGAGGATTAAAAGAGAACGGTTTCATTTTGAAAAACAAGAGAAAAATATATGTCTGTATTTTATGAGGAAGTATTTAAAAGTAATATAAGTATATAAATATTTGTATAAAGAATTTCATTAAAAATATTGCCTGTCATTTTATGACAATCATATTGAAATCAATATGCTACAAAGCAGAGAGAGCATTGTGTGTTAAAACAATTTGATCACTGAATAATTGAAGTACAATAAAGTCTGAACACAGACAAGAAATTCTATTGATCTGAAATGAATTGATTGAACAGTTATGTATATAGATCTTTGTTTTTGATTTGTAAGTCAAAACACAGAAAAATATACAAAGCTAAATATTGATCTTTCTTTAATCAATTTGAAATGAGAATTTTCATTATTGGACAATCAAGATATATTTTATCCCTGCCCCAAACGTTGGCTAGATGCAACAGTAGACAGCAATACATGAAAAGGATTATAGCAAAATTTATAAGATTATATGATATGTTTAAATCCAAGTAAGATAAGGTGCAAAACCTGGATCTAAACATATCTTATAATCTTATTAATTTTGCAATACTCAACAGTAAGATGAGGACATTTCTTTGTATCATGTCTTTTATATTTTATTTTAATTTATTCGAATAAAACTTGAATAATTATTGGCTAAGACATGAAAATTGAGGTTTATGGTATTTATAAAAATTGTCTGCCAAAAATGTAAAGAAATTTTGGTTTTGATATAAGAATCAAAATTGCATGGTGACTGTCAGTTTCATGCCTCAAGTGATCTTCAGGGGGTCATTACTCCTTTAGTAGGTTTACTATATAAGTCACTGGGGGATTAAGGTCAATGGAGGAAGAAGAAAACTGGCCCGTTCAAGTTTTATTGTTAAGGATTATTTCTAGTCATGACTTCTATATTGCTTATTTATGGTGTTTGGAGAAAATGTGTATACAAATTGGTTAGGATCGTAGCTTTTAGATTGATTATTTATGCTGGTGGGTGTGATTGAAGGAAGTGTGTATGTAAATAAGTTAAGATCATGGCCTCCAGATTGTTTACTTATGCTGGCTGGGTGGTTGGAGGAAGTATGTATGAAAATAGTCATAGACTCTAGATTGCTTGCTTATGCTGTTTGGGTGGTTGGATTAAGTGTGTATGTAACCCATTTTTCATCACCTATATTTCACGAATGATTAGGATGATACACTGTTATTCCAAATAGTTCCTCTAAATAGAAATTACTTAGAAATCAACCTAATAGGTATATAACTAAATTTGTAATTCACCTGTTGAGGTGGTCTCTCTGGCTATATCCATAAAATGTTATCTATCTCAGGCTCCCAAGGATATGAGTTCAAGTCTTGCTGGTGGTTATTTCTTTATCTTTTAATGTTTTTTTTAATCTTTTAATCCATTGAGGTTAATGAAATTAATCATAAAATAAAAAATGTCTTGATAATTTTTGAAAAAAATCAACAAAAATCAAATGGAAGATAAATTAGGTAGAAAAGAAATAACTGGAAAATATTTATCACCTGTTATCAACATTTTATTCTATACCTTTCCAAAAATGAGAAAAATAAAAAAGTTTGAAATGAAAAAAAGGACAGTATCTTATAAATTTACTTATTAATTATGGCAGGTAATTTTAAAGGTACGCTTTACATCAGTTTGCTTTTATGAAAAGTATAAATGACATAGTTCAGGTTCCCCTATATCCAAAATGGTGTAAAACGAAAAAGCAATTACTATTAATTTACATGAGAAAAATTGTTGAGTGTTCCCTGATCCCCCACCCTCACAGAAACTGTTTCTTCATACTGTTGTAGCTGGTACAGAAAACATGAAAGTGTTTAGCCATATTTTTCTTTCATCAAACAATTTTTTGTTGGCTCTTAAAACACCTTGCATATATTCCCTTTCAGAATTTAAGTGGTGCATTACTGCAATCATTGCAGCAATATCAATAGTGATGAAAATCTCGCACAAGATTATATATTGGCATTTGGGAACACTAAAAGATTAATGGCAGTTGCTTCCTTGCTTTTAATTTATAAAAGGATTTTAAAGAAATTCTCTACTTTCAGACATAGGGATAGGAAACCTGTATAAGAAATGTCTAGCTGGCCACTTGTTTTCGAGGATGCCCATCTACTAGGGTGGCTAACCAATCCCTATTGTAGACGCTTGCTCAGGCGCATTTGTGTTTATTCAACACCCACATAGCCCAATTGCGGTTTATACTACAACTATGCTGAGTAGACCTTAGTTACAGTTTCTGGGAAAGAGCATGCTATCTAGCATGATCAACAATTTGAACAAGGCCAGCATGCTCAAGCCCTCAGCCATGATGACTTGTGACTTCATGCTAGCACAGCTATCGATGGCCCCCAAGGGTTCCATCTACCCAATTTTATTCACAAGGCTTGGGTCAACCTGTGGTATGGTTTTCAGGCACTTTCCAAAGGTGCCACACACTGGGGATCAGCCCCCCCCTCCCAAGTCCAATAACATCTGGAAGTTTCCTTCCTGACAAATCAACCATGGTGAGTTTTGAACCTTGGACTCATGGGCAGAATGCAAATGTTCTAACCATTTGGCCATGTGCCCATTATAAGAAATAAAATGAATTAAAACACCAACATATAAAAAGTGCTATGTAATTGAATGACAAAATGGGACAAAATTCTCTGCAACAGGTTTTGTTCTTCAAAAGAACTTCTTCAGACTAATGTTGTCAGTGACAGAAGCATATATATGTAGGCAGGGGAATGAAAATTTAAACAGACATTGGTAAGGAAATAAACATCAAGAAAAATGCTGAAAACACAGGTACAATTAACTTTAAATTTCAATTTTAAATTTCTGACATCTTGATGTATAGCCTATCAGATTGCATTCATCTTCTTGCGACTTTTGTTTTTGGTTGTTTCTAAATAAACTATAATGACATTGGTTTTGTATGAGAGAGGAAATGCTGTATGAACCTGGAAGACTGAGAAAGTAAGGCACTTTGATACAAATGTCCCCCAGGCCTCTATCCTTGCATCTATGTCATTTCCTAATTGTCATCGACAAACTTCCTGATGACATCAATTCTCAACTTGGTATCTATGCTGTTTCTTCTTCTTTATGTGCTGTGTCCCTTCAGAATGTAGGCAATCATGGCCCTCCACATCTTCCTGTCTCTTGTAGCACTTAGTAATTTTTGTATTTTTGGTATTTCTCCTAAATCCTGTTCTACCATCCATTTGCTCAAGCGCATCAAGTATGTTATATGCTGTTTTCCACTTTCCCTTAATCTGTCCTGTGAGTATCAGATTTTCCAAGCCCTCTTTTCTCATTACATGCCCCAGAAATTTCAACTGCCTCTTTCTGATGTTAAGTATAAGTTTCTTTTTTGTTTCCATTTTCTTTAAAACCTTGTCGTTGTTCGCATGTTTGGTCCATGGTATCCTCAGCATCTTTCTGTAGAACCACATTTCTGTTGCTTCAAGTCTCTTCTTCATCTTTGAGGAGATTGTCCAGCATTCACTGCCCTGATCTGTTCTACAAAATCAAATTGGTAGCTGATCTAAAAAAAAGCGACCTACTTTCTGTTCTTAACTGGGGCAAGGAATGTCTAAGAGAACCATTTTCACTTTCCTTCAGCATGGCATACTAATATCCAGGAGTGTGACTTTTTGCGCTTCCTAAGGCTAATATTT